CTGACAAAATGGATGTACCAAATACTGTATATAGAGTGAATTGTTTAGAATGTGATAATACATATATAGGACAAACTAAACAATATTTAAAAAAGATAATGTAAGAACATAAATACAGTCTGAGAAATACTAGTGAAAATAAAACAGCATTAACACAACATGCACACCAAATGTTGCATAATTTTGATTTTTGACATCGCAGATATATTATTTAGGGAAAAAAATTATCATAAAAGAAGATTCCAAGAAATGATACAAATAAAAAAACATACAAAAGCAGTAAATTTCAGATCAGATACCGACAACCTCCTCAACATTTACCAAACCCTAATAAAGCCATAAGTATGGAACACCCGGTACACTAGTGAAAAATTAAAACTATTTCTGCTTATCTCGATACATGCATACCACTCTCGCAAATGTAGAAAATAATTCAGACAAACTCAAGCTTTTAAAGAAGGCAAAGACTTAAAACTTGTAAACAACCTGTTTTAACACTTGTAAACATTGTAACACTGTAAATTATAAATTTTATACAACATGTTTTTTTTGTGAATTGGTGTTTGTAGTTTGTGCAAGTTTTAAATCTGACGATGGCGCTGTTGTCTCGCCGAAACGTAATGAAATAAACTATGTTTCAAAATTTTTACTTCACACTTTGACTGAGACCCAGGAAGGATAAGAATATCATAATAATTTCTTAAATAGTTCATATTACTTACGTCGTTTACTTCCTATAGTATTTTCACTATTTTCATAAATAGCTTCCCGTCTAGCTATTCCTAGATTTCTTTTATGCTTCTTAGTACCCAAATGTCGCTCTTTGTGTTCAGGAGTGGTAAATGCTGTGTCACAAATCTGGCAAGTTAATTGATCTAAAATATCGCAAAAGATACACAAGAATTCTTCATTTGCTTCGACGATTACCTGTGCTTGGTTGTTGATATTCATCCATTGCGCTTAACGATCTGTTTACATCTTTGAACTACTCATTGTATGTTTAAATTTCCCAATCAATACACATCGCAACAAACGATTAATCACCCATTTGTTTTATCATTTCTGTAATCAGTGATAAGTAGATAACGTTTAATAAAAGCATTAGGAACGGATTTATTACGTTTGATATATTTCAATGCATTGGATAAAAAAATCAATTAGGGTACGGATTCTCTTTCATAAAAACCCGATAACGGCAATAAAACTGTGTTCATGCTCACAATATTGAAGCATTTGAACGTTTTTGAAGTAGCTTGAGCTATTGAACAGTACAAAATTCACCTTATAATTACTTCCTTTACTCTTTGTCGAATCGTGAAATTTCTATTTTACTAATTTTTATTAAGCGATTGTGTATTTTAGGCTATGGCGTATTTTTCAAAAAAATACCAAATTTTTGTCGGGAAATTCTCGTTTTGATGGATAGCGGCTGAGCATGATTAAAACGTAAAAAAGCAGTTAAGTAAAATTTCTCTAAAAAACTTCGTAAAAAAAACTCTAGTAAAATGTGTTTGAGAATAAATATTTTGCAGCTCCGGCATTTTTCGAACGGTGTCGCGGTGGACGTTGTAGCATCCTTTGATTCCTTAACCAGAAATAGTCAAAATTGGTGCAAAAAGGCATTTTCCCAAAGCACTCCACGAAGGAAAGTTGCGACTTTCCTCTGGCAAGGAGAGTATTAACAACTTCGAACGCAAAGAGGATGGAAACTAGAGATTTATTGAATTTTTATTAGAAAATATTACAACATTTACTCAAACTTAGGCAAATTTTCTACGTGGGAAAACATTTCTTTTCATAAATTTTGCGTTACGCATCATTGTGTTATTTATTACAGGCACATTTATTCTTGTTGGTTTATCCAAAAATTTGAAAGTTGCCGGGCTTTTGGAATTTCTTTGTTCCATTACTGAAATGAAACTATTGCAGCTATTTTGATTTTTGCACTGGAACAAGCACTAGTGCGATCATAAAAATACTTTTAAGGCTTTAAAATGTGTTGTCAACTACAACTATTGCAAAAAAACTTAACAATTTCTTGTTTCAACACGGCTTTGGTGTTTAGTGACATTCGTTATTGCAAGATCGGGCTTGGGACGACCAGGACTTTTAATTTTAAATTTGTTTTCTAAATTTGGAGCGGAAAATTTCATTGCCTTTAAATATTTAAATTTTGTTTGTGCCCGATTGAACCCTTATTGCGTCAGTTACAGTGACTAAAGTACTAACTTCTACTAGTTAAATAATCCGAAATCAGGATAAAATAAAGGCCGTGCACATACTAAGTGTGCACAATGGTCAGGTGAAAACATCGAACTGCTAGGGACACTTGCGGGTGATCGAAGACCCCGGGTGGAATGTTCCGTCAATGAAACTTGCTCTACAAAAGTGCAGTGAACCATGCGAATAGGAGACGGTTTACATAGGCCACCTCGTGAACGGCAAATCGGCGAAAAAAAAACAGTTCAAAGCAATTCTTTCACCGAAAGACCTCCTCCAAGAATTTTAAATTCAGGGTGTCGCAATAAGGATGGTAAGCGGCTGTATCTTGGAAAGTATGTGTTGTAGAGTGATCGAAAAAAAAATTGATAACAAACTTAACGAAAAGAATTTGCTGAAAATTATTTTGAAATTTTTCAGATTTTGTCGATTTTATACAGACATTGTCCCTATTAGTGAAACATCTAGTAAGTTTAGTCAAAAGATCATAAAAAAAACGGACTACTTTCCTTATGAACTTTTTTCCTAAGTTGTCAAATAAAGCGTGGGGGAGAGTCAAACCGCTTTATTCAAATAAAATGTAAATCCGAAACTGTGATCCTGTAAATCCGAAACGGCTTGACCGATTTCAAGGTTTGTACTATCAATGGAAAGAGCAATAAAAACTCTACAATATATGATATAACAACAATCTTGCTCATTTTCGAAAAAATCGCTGTTCGAAAAAGTTTCTTTGTTTTAATTTTTCACAAAAATTCCAAATGCTAGCATCAAATTATTTTACACGCATTCGAAAGCAAAGGAAAAAATGAACTAAACCGCATCTTAAAATAATTTATGGAATCAATTTAATACTTGAAAATAATAAAGGTTGCCTAATTCAAATAATTAAAGTAAGAATTGTCCCTATAAGTGAAACATCTAGTAAGTTTGAAAATAGTGGGAACAATAAAAGACAATTTGTTCTTCCAAAGCGTACTTTAAATATTTGAATTAGGCAACCTTTATTATTTTCAAGTATTAAATCGATTCCAGAAATTATTTTAAGATGCGGTTTTTGCGGTTCAGTTCATTTTTTCCTGTGCTTTCGAATGCGTGTAAAATAACTTGACAGAAGTATTTGAAATTTTTGTGAAAAATTCAAACAAATAATTTTTTTAAACCGCGGATTTTTCGGAAATTATTAATATTGTTTTTATATCACATATTGTAGAGTTTTTATTGCTCTTTCAATTGATAGTAAAAACTATGAAATCGGTCGAGCCGTTTCGGAGTTACAGGTTTCTTTGAATTAAGCGGTTTGACTCTCCCCTCACGCTTTATTTGACAAGTTAGGAAAAAAAGTTCATAAGGAAAGTAATACTGTTTTTTATGATCTTTTCACTAAACTTACTAGATGTTTCACTTATAGGGACAATTTCTGTATAAAATCRACTTTTTAAAATACCGTTTGCAATTACGCCATCTAGTGGTCATYTGAGAACGTTCAAAATAATTTTTAGCAAATTATTTTCTTCAAGTTTGTTATCAATTTTGTTTTCCGATCACTCTACAACACATACTTTCCAAGATACAGCCGCTTACCATCCTTATTGCGACACCCTGTATAAATAACATACAACATACGTAAAAATTTACCTGGAACTGTTGCGTTTAGCGTTGAATAGTAAGACGCACAAAGAACAGCAACAGAAAATTGGCTGTTTTTTTATATTTTTGAGGAAAATAAGCCATCAGTAGGTACTTTTCCAGACATCCCAATTACCGCGCTGAAATTATGAAACGCGCTGAAATTACTATCAAACTTTAGGCGCGATTTGCGCAACAATTAGCAGCTTGCAGTTGCAAGATTTAATTTTCTGATAAAACTTCTTTATAACTATTCCAATTTTCTTTATTAAATTCCACAACTTTTGAGATATTTTGCATTTTTGGTATAATGTTTTATTTGCGCTTGTCTTAAAATTCGAATTTGTTTTACATACGCGCTTAATAAACCCTAATTGTCTAGAATCTAGGCGGAATACCAGCTTGATGCTCCTGATCAAATTTCGAGAGGTGGCAACATACACCAACAGATATTTATTCAAGAAACTTGTAAATTGGGATTAAAGGGCTTACATTGAAAGTGACTCGTTTAATTTTAAACATTTTACTAATTGTTCGATTTTGAATATATGGAATCCTTCCTGAATTCTTAGATATCTATTAATGAACTAATGTATAAAATATTTTGCTTCACAACAGTATTTAGCTTTAAAAGTAGTATGCTAGTCACTAAGTCACTAAAATATAAAGGCGTTTAATTATTTCATTCGGGCAACAAGTCGTCGCCCAATTCCTCATTTCCAAAATCATCAAAGTCCAAAGGCTTTCCCGCTCCTGTCCTGGGGCGAATGGGTAAAGGCCCTAGCGGATCCGCATAGTTCACATCTGCAAAACAGATTGTTACAATTCCTTTTCCGTCTCGCAGAACATTTGAAGTAGCACCAATATTATTTGGTCCAATTCCCGAATCCGAGCTGCTGGCGCTGTTTTGCTTGCGTATCTCCCTCACACTTCTCAGGTTCCGGCTGTTCGAACCCGACAGGGGAGGTGGACTTTGAGTCGATGTGTGCTCTGGTACTGGACTAAAGCCCGAACCTGCTCTCGAAGACAACCCGCTATTGCTTCGTCTGGATCCTGGAAAGCTACCATTTGAGCGACAAATTAAAATTTGCAACTTACCCAAACCTGGCCTGCTGCTGTTCACCCGTTCTCTCACTTCTTTGGACTTTTCCAGTTTCTTGAGCTCCATGAGATAATCCTGTGCCTCTCTCATTCCCAGGTCGCTGCACAGTCTCACCAAGAACCGCAGACACTCGGCATTCTCAGGAAACTGACTATCGTTTGAAGATTTAAGTAGAACCAGCAGCAGCACCATTCGGTTGGCGTTCTTACCTATGGATTTCCTGATAGAGTGTTAAGGCTTTGTGCATATTTCCACTGCGACGATGGCATCCGGCCACCATCATATTCCACTTTGGTTCCCCAGGTTGCATCAAGGCCGCTTTCTCGAAGTAAATTAGAGCCTTTTCCACCACTTGCATTTCGATATAGTACGACCCCAACCACTCGATTACCGATAAGTTGCCCGGGTAGTACCTGAAAGACTAATTCCAAAAACTTAACAAATAACACAGACGATGTGGGGCAATCTGTGGTCACACTATATGGTTTTATTCATATATAAGAAGAGTTCATACTAAATTTTTTGTACACAGTGCACGAGACACTAATTTCTCTGTATATCAGTATTACGGGAACCGGCAAAATAAGGTACTTTGCCACTGTTAAATTAATCAAATAAAAGTGTATCATGGGCATATTTTTATTTTAAAAGTGCTTAATCCATGGTCTAAAGGATTACTCATATGTTTGAGGACTGGTGGACATACTAAGGTATAATGGAATCAACCGAAAATGAGAATCAAATTGTGGCGAGCGTAAAGAGAACACAAATAACGGCAGGCATAAATCTTATTAGTGGCAGGCATTACTAAAAATCGAAGCCGCATGTGCACAAGTCAATAAGGCAGCGGCACTATTAGTGGCATAGCTGCAATGCGTGTACCATGTATCTGTATTTATTTTCGTCTGCGTCTCAAAATCGCTTTGTCCACTGCACATTTGTAAAGTAATTTTGACTGGAAAAACATTTTCACATTCCAGCCCTATTATCTCGTCTATGTGTGTGTTACTATATAGAGTTATACAGGGTGATTCGCAACCTTGTGGACACAGAGCAGGGGCGTGTAGAGGACCTCAAGACAAATCGAGTTTCCATGTAAGTTTTTTATTTCAGGCCCATGATTAACGAGATACAGGGTGTTAAAATTTCAAAAAAATGTTGGTATTTTCTCTTTAATTCCTACAGTTTATGAGATATTTTGTTCAAATTTTTAAGGTAGGCTGGTGTTTAGACCCTCACGGAAGGCGACTGCTTGTGAAAATCTACAGGGTGTTCTTTTTTCTAGAGAACCTCTTTTACGCCTCCGAACTTTTTTATGGTGCGCCACTGACTTCGACCCAACACATTTTTGCATTTGTTGTTTAATTTAAGAATTTGCTGATCTCTAGCAGTTTTTTTGCATCTGTCTTTGTTTTCGAGTTATTTGCACAAATATAAGTCCATGTAGGSTTTCTGGGTGATTTTCTATGAATTTTTTAAATAATTTTTTTGTGTCYTTTTGTTCAMATTTTTYGGTCAAAGSTTCAAGTGCAAGTTAAAGTTAAAATAGGGATRGCTGACGAGTTAACTTTAAAAGTKATTTTTTTTACTTTAATTTAATTTACGATAATTGAGGTTTATCGGCTGTAAGCTAATCCAAATAAAAATAAATAAAAATGTAATGAATATTTCAATTTATTATGAAATTAATTTCTTTCACCAAAAAAAAAAGTACAAAAGGACGCAAAAAAATTATCAGAAAATTCATGGAAAATCACCCAGGAACCCTACATGAACTTATATTTGTGCAAATAACTCGAAAATGAAGACAGATACGAAATAACTGCAAGAGATCAGAAAATTCTTAAATTCAACAACAAATTGAAAAATGTGTTCGCTCAAATTCAGTGGCGCAACACAAAAAAGTTTGGGGGGGWAGAAGGGGGTGTGCCTCTAGAAAATAGAACACCTGTAGATTTTCACAACCAGTCGCCTTACCTACGGATAATGCGTCTAAACAAACTACGTTAAAAATTTGAGCAAAATAGCTCAGAAACTGTAGGAGTGAAAGAGAAAATACCAACATTTTTTTGAAACTTTAATACCCTGTATCTCGTGAACCATGGGCCCGAGAAAAAAACTTAAAAGGAAACTCGACTTCTTTTGAGGTCCTCTACACGCCCCTGCTGTGTGTCCATAGGGTTGTGAATCACCCTGTATATTAATTGTTTTTTTGCAAAAAAGTGCTGAAATTTAGAAAGTTTCCTTTGGAGTATTCGTCACCTTTCAATTCCCAAGTTCACCAAGAAGAATGCTTTTTTAAATATTTATAAAAACCATAATTCTTCCAACAAAACAGTGATCGCAAGCTTAAGGAATAAATGCAGTCGAAACATGTTTTCTACATAACTGGTTACTCTTTAAATGGACCCTAAGAAAGAACTGCTTAAAAGGAGTGACACCAATTTTGAATCACTCTGCTTGCTTGCTGATGCTGTGGAACCTAAAATAGAATTACATCTTTTGAAGCGAAAACTTTCCTGATGAGTCGCGGTTTCTTAATTTAATGTTTAATTAAAGAAAATTGGATAATGTTAATATGTCCTTTGCACGTTCCAAGAAAGCGTCAATCAGCCCCCCTAAAGGAACAACACAAATTTGATTCTCTCTGTATTAGGCATGGGGAACACTGTGTTGTTTGACACTTTTGTGTTGATGCCGCTCTATGAGTCAATGTGTTATAACACCTCGAGCCTTACGGCGCAACACCTTGAATAACACTTAACATTTAACTGCATTCAAGAAGAATTTCAAAGCCAGAAAGCGAGTCGCACACGTATTTACGGTTTACTGTAAAATAAATTGCTCTGACACGTTGTATTGACGCGACAAGACGCATCAGTATCAATGCGCCAACACCTGAACATCAACACTTACATCAACGTGATAATGATGGGCCTGCTGTTTATCGCCCTCCTGGTCGAACAATTCGCCCAACTTCTGCAAAGCTTTGGCGTCGGTTGGTGTCAATCCGAGCAGCTGCTGATAAGTGTCAGCTGCAGCTTCAGAGTCGCCCACCAACTCTAACAAGCTGGCCACTTGGCAAACTACAGCGGGAAGCAAGGCTAAGGAGCCGGAAAACCGTTGAAAACAGGACAGCGCTTCTATGTAGTGTCCCTGGCGTTTCAAGCATAATCCTGCAAGATAATTCGGTTCATTGATATTGCCACAGCTGACCAAGTTCGTTCACTAGCCCAAATCGAAAATTGCTTCAAAATGATCGGGATTCAAGTCCAGAGCTTTGCGAAAGCACTGAATGGCCCTGTCCAGTTGTCCCGTCGCTATCAGACACGCCCCATAGTTTACAAAGCCATCAGCAGTTGGCATTTTGCATTGTTCCACTGTTTCGCTGTATCTCAGAGCTGTATCGTAATCGCCTTGCTGAAATGATAGTGAAATATATATTTGTTATTACAAATTTATAGGCGACTGGAGCAAAAGTACCTAGAAGGCTGGAAAGGTTTCAGAAAATAAACTAGCTCGATTTCCGGTTCAGTTTACTAGTCCCCTTTTATGTAACTTACCAAATAATATATAAAACTTAGATTGGTAGCTGCATTCAATGCTATATCGGTATCTTTTTCAAACGTCTTCAACGTGCTAATGGCTTCAGCGAGTTGATTTTGCTTCAAGAACATGATGGCCTTGTTTATTTCCAAATCTGCGGCCAATTGGGCGTATTCTGAGCTCTTGATTGCAGACACACACCAGTCGTAACCTACATATAAAGAAAGAAGCTCTAAGATTGCAGTTTTTGAAAACAGTTTGATGTTTCTAATAGAGACAATGTTCATTGTGCAAATGAGGAGAAAAATGAGACAAGCGAACGCAGATTGGCAGATCCTGAAATGTGTGGGGATTGAGGAACGTTAGAGAGGGCATGAGATGTTTCACTTGCTTACAGAACTGGAGGAGGTGAAAGGATTTAAGACAAGATCAGCAACATGGAGGAGGATGGCAATATAATAGGGAACTTTTTAGGGATAACATAAGTCGATAATCGTTTCATAAAAACGTTCAATAAAGTTTCAGTTCCGTAATAATCGATATTTTCGGTACATTTACAAGCGTTCACGATCTTTAAGCGACGATTTCTTCTTTATTGTTAATGCAAACACTTTGTTGATGCATTTTTGATTTTTTTAAGGCGAAAGGAATCGATTGAGAGACAAAAACAAGCAGGTGAAATTTTTATTTTCTCAAAAATCTTCTAAGGGCGGGGGTGGATTTTTTGAAAAAATATTAGTTTTTAACTTTATAAATGCATTTTTTTAATTTCTTAAGACGAAAGGAATCGATTGAGAGCAAAAAACACTCATGCCAAATAGTTATTTTTTTCCGAAATTTTTCTAATGGTAGGTAAGTGTCGATTTTTTGAAGAAATATAGATTTTCTCAAAACGCCTTGAAATCTACATCATTGTGATCTCAATGAACCCGGGAATGCAACGAACTAGTTTTAGCCAGAAGTTTCAGTTCTGATAGAGATATAATATATAAGAGATTTTCGGAACATTTTTATCGTTTTTTGAGCGTTCGCGATCTTTAGCCGACGATTTCTTCCTTATTGCTGACCCAGACACTTTAGAAATGCACTTTTGTGAGATTCCTATGGCGAAAGTAATCGATTGAGCGCAAAAAACTCGCATGTAAAATTTTAATTTCTTGCCGAAAATTTTCTAAATGTCGGGGTCGATTTTTTCAAAAAAAAATTATTTTCTCAAAAAGTCTTGACATCGACATCAGTGTGATCTCAAGGAACCGGGGAATTCAACGAACTAGTTGAGAAACACACCAGAAGTTTCAGTTGGGTACATTTTAGGCGAGCATTCACGATATTGAAGCAACGATTTCTTCCTTATTATTGATCCAAGTACTTGATAAATGCATTTTTTGAGTTTCTTAAGGCGAAAGGAATCGATTGAGCTCAAAAAACACGCATGTAAAATTCTTATTTTTTGCCGATAGGAATTAAGTAATCGATGGGGAAACTGTATTTGAAAATAATTTACCCTTCAAAAACTTCATGTTTAAACAATTTACCCTTCAGTAATCAACTTTTTCTTTATTGTACGCTGTAGTATAACTCTTTACGAGTAAAATACACTCTCAGAAGAGTCTTTCCGACGTCTCAAAAACAAACTTATTTAGATTCTGGCAAGAGGCTTTTCTACATACCTATCAAATAAGAATTAACAAAGAGTTTTGAATATATTAAGGTAAAATGTATACACTCATAAAGTCCACAAAACTGTTCAAAAAAGTGATAGTGCGATTTTTGAGAAGCAAAGCAAAATTAAATATAGAAAATTAAAAAAAAAACACTAAAAACGACGGATTTTTTTGTTTTTTGAGTAAACAAATAAACGGATTTTAATTCAGATTGTCTCATTTTGTAGATACTTTTACCAATTAAACGGGAAAATTAAATCCCACGGCAAGATGAATTACATTTTGAATAGTAAAATTGACGTGAACCGATTTGTTTTCATTTAATTTTATTCGCCATTGCCTGATCCAAATATTTATGGCATTAATTGCAATTTGGATATTGGCAGTCGTTTCTTCTATTTAGTTCCCAGCTGCAAGAACTATAGTATCACCAGCAAATGCTACAAATTTTATGTTATTTACTACTCGAATAACGCATGTATGCACGCTGCTTTGAGGAACTCCGGCATTTATCGTTCTCCTGCTTTATACGAAAATTTCGTTGATTTAGGTAGGATTCTGAGAGTGGCATATGCTGCGATAGACAGGATCTTTTTAGTTGATTAATCATGCCAAACTTTGTCCATGGCCTAAGCTACCAGACAGCTAAGTACATAAGTACATTTTCTTTTCTCCTAGACACTTTTCTATAACATCTGTTATTCTACAAGGATTAACAGCTGCTAGTTTCTGCAACGTGATAACAATACCTTGCCAATGCCGTGTTCAGTGTTAAGTTGTTTACCAGATTATTTTGATTTTTTCTATGTACTAAATGATCGGTTTTCATGCTCTAGAGAAAAATAATTTTCCTCTGCAGCCCAAATATTCATATCGGTATAAAGAGTAGAACATGTCTGTATCATAATTTAAAATTCCCTCACCTTCTTTCAAGCTATCTTCTACAAAAGGAGCGATCAGTTTGGCGGCTGTGAGAATGCAGTACTCAGCATCCTTTCGCTTCAGCGCTTCATACTTGTGCAAGTGGTCATCCTGAATGGCTGTGGCAAGAAGTGCGTCTTCGGGATTATCCTACTTAATTTTAAACCTTTTATCATCCTGCTGCTTGTGATTCCTCAAGCACTTGCCTGCTCTAAGTTATACTTGTCGTCTTCTTCAACGTCCAAAGGCACCGACAGTAGAAGCGAAAATGCCGTTCTCATTCTGTCCTGATCTTCCAGCGCTCTGGAACACAATAAAAATGGGAATCCTTTATTTTACAGTTATGCTACTGGGAAACCAAACGGCAAAAAGTGGCAAACTGCACCTGCAACAAACTATCAAATGTAGTCCTCCCCGATGGCACGGCTGTTCGCTCATGATAAACTCCAAACTGTTAACAGCCTCCTCCCATTGCCCCATCTTTACAAACACCATGGCAATGTTGTGCATTATTTTTATCCTGGAACGTTCCAATCATCAAAGCAGCTGGAACAACTAGTTTCAAATAATACCTGAGGTTTTTTTGGGTGGACGGCACCTGATCCAGAGCCATCCGATACATTTTCACTGCCATCTGGTAGTGTCCCTGTTTGAGGTAAATGTTGCCCATGTTCAGTTTGAGGCGATACGCATTGGCAAACATTCGATTCTTTGTAATGGTCTGATATGTGTTTAGTGCCTCAGTGTAGAGCTCGTTCACTGCATATTGGTTTGCAAGATTGAACAATACCTAAGAAAATGGGTTTTCTAACTGCAATTTCTTTATCTTTTTCGCCGGCGATGTAGAGAAGTACGAACGGCAAAAGAAAGTAAATTTAATCAGAAGTTAAAAAACGACTACTGAAAACAGAGAACAACGATTTTACTCACATAAACTTCACCAAGCAAACACGAATAGTCAAAAAATGGCGTTTCTGTGTGCAAAATTTGAATTCTGATTCTGAATTGTTTAAACTCAAAGTTTTTATGATTTAATGAAAAGCAATAAACTGGAAGACTATTTAACTAATTCATTGTTGAAATGTTCTCCACCACTTAAGCTTTGGTTAAGTCTGAGTTAACGCCAATATTCTTCGGCATATAATAGAATATTTTACGAGAAATAGTCTAGCGAGCTTAAATCTGCAATCCTGCCGGCCATTCGACTGAACATCTCAGTTTTTTGACGAAAACCACTACTGGCTTCATAATTTTTTGGAGTTATTCGATCACTTTACAAAGTCGAACATACAAAATAAATTTCCGCACGGCATACGAGTTTTAATTATTTTTTTATTATGTTTCAATTTTATACCAGGTGTCAATTTGAAAACTTCCCACCCTTAATACCTTTCTTGCAGTTTAAAATATGAAAAATTGGGTGTGTTTAATGTACAAATCATTAGATGCTTCGGTTACACCGTTAAAATCGTTGAATAACAGTAAAAAAATATAGTTTAAACAATTGATTTCGGGTTTATTGACTATTTTACTTCGAGAAAAATCACTTTTTATTTCCGGAAGGGAAATTTCTGCAATAAAACCCTTGTGATCTACTTACGCACTGTATTATAAGTTGTTAAAGTCTTGTCTATTTGCCTGTAAATAATAATAAAATCTATTTTCGAACCCTCCCTAACATTGATAAGATATTCCCGGATAGATCGATTGGCAGAAGGGGACCAATTGAATGACCTCCAAGATCACCGGATTGAACACCGTTAGACTTCTTTCTGCGGTGACATCTTAAGTTCATTGTTAATAAATCAAAACTTGCTGATATTGATGATGTTAAAAGGCGAATTGCAGCAGAATTCCAGTCAATTCCTGGTCAAGTTTCCCGAAATGTTAGGGAAGAGTTCACAAATCAACATCACTTGAACAACTCATAACATAGTGCGTAAGTAGATGAAACAGGTTTTATTGTAGAAACTCCTCTTCCGCAAATAAACATTATTTCTGTCAATGTAAAATAATCAATGAATAAGAAATAAAATAAAATAAAAAACAATAAATCAATTTTTAAACTAGATTTTCTTCCGGTTATTCAAGTGTCTCCCTTACAAATAAAATTGACAGGTCTTTTCGATTTTTCATATTTTCAAAAGTTTTCAAATTGAAACCCCACATAATGCAAATCTGCCTAAGTTTCAGCCTGATTTAAAAGAACAGCTTGGAGCAAATAAGGATTAAAAATTGATATGAAACTGGAATGTGAAAACCACAATTACCTTCCTTAGTTACTTATTTTTTTATTTTTTTATTACTTTACTTATTTATTAAAATTACCTTTGTAGTTAGACTATGCCTTTGCATCAGTTTCTTCTCTACCCAAAATAATTTTTGATAATAATAAAAATATAATGGAAGGTTTTCAAGAAATCAGTCAAGAAATGTAAAAGGGATAATTTAGTTCAACAACATTTTCCACTTATTTAAAGACGTTTTAAAATTCGATGATGGTAACAATTTGACATTTTTTAGGCAGAAACCGTTCAATTTTGCTTTTTTTTAAGTACTTTTAGGCTTACTGTAACCTTGTCCTTTCATTATTTTCCATGAATGTACCACAAAAATCCTTAGAAAATTCAGCTTTTGTTGGCTGTTTGCTCCACAAACATTGGAGTTGAAAATGTTCTGCGGCTTAAAGATGCATCGATTAAAAATTTGTGGTTCAGTCGAACAAATCTAACCGTTATAAAGTCTCACAGAAAAATGTAAAAGACAGTATTCAGATTTTCTCATGCCTTCACTATTTTCAAGTTAAGACTTACCGCATAAGTCAAATCGATGTTATGGTGCTCGCCTAGTCCGTTCTGTTCTTGCATGCGTATAAGGCTTCTTTCTTTATATGAAGCTTCCTTGGCTTTGGTTAACGCCATTCTGGAGTCGCCTGCGGTCTGTGCTATGCACGATTCTTCCACTAACTGCATTATTTTCATTTCTTGTTGTCTGATTTTCTCCTCCGGCCTGCAAGGGGTGTAAGCGATCAAAATTCCCGCAAGCCATAATTCTGAATGTTTATTTCCTGATTTATTACTAAAGGGTATTTTTTTTAAGTAGATAAAATGCTAATTGTTTGCTTTCAGGCAGTTAAATGTTAGATTAGTTAAAAGTTATGGTAAAAAATGAATGCAACAAAACTACACGAACTGTGTGCTCCAAAAGTTTCTACGGAGTTTTCGCTGAAGCTTGCGCAAATTCTTCTGGCAAGTCAATTATTTTTCAACATTGATATAAATAGTTATAATATATGGGAATAATAAATAGGGCTAAATGGATCAAAAATGCTATTAAGTAGAAACTTTTCAATTTTTGACGATTTTCAAGAGTTTGTAAAAAAATATATTAAAACCGCGTCTAGATCCATTTCAATCAGTAAAAAAATGAAAAATAACATAGAGAATCTGTGGATAATTTTATTCCAAACAAAACAGCGTGCCAATTTTTTTTGGGTTCAAATCTTTTTTTTTTGGGATAATATGGGATTTTTCTGCTAAAAACTTTGCTTTTGGAACTTTCACATTACCTAATCGTATGTAGGTTTGTTATAGTAGAGTTGAAAGCTAATTCAGATCTCTTTGAACGTTTCGAACAGATTTATTGCAAAGAGATTGATACATAAGAAACAATCTAATAAATCAACACTTTTTTCTAAAATCCCTCAATAAGCAACCATTCAAAAATTGTACATAAACAACGGCCGAATCGGAAGAATTTCTAGGATTTCGACATAAAACTCTTGTAACTACACAATTTTGTTATGCATTATTATTGACTGGCGAAACTCAATTTACAAACTGCAGAATCGAGTTTTTTTTATTAAAAAAATCTTTACCTCATTGAGCTCAAAAGATCACAAAATAAATCGGTAAAGTATCGGTAAGAGCATGTTGATTTTTTCAGTATTAATTGCTCTTGGTCTTGAGAAAGTCTGTAATAAGCTAGGCTAGGCTGTATGTGTAAATTTTTTTTTTCTTTCAAACATTAAAGTGTTTCTATTTAATCTAAGTAAGTAAATAACATTTTTGCTACGATAATTATTTTTTCGGGCTTGGATTTCCAGCTCAGCCCATCAAAGAATTTATAAAATGTTTAACTCGCAATAAAGTTGCTCGATAGGTGCATTTGCTTGGTCAAAGAAGGGAAAACGTATTTTTTTAAACAAACAATTTTGATCAACAATTAATATCAAATAATCAACTGTGTGTCGTTACTCCCCAGGCGTATTGCGAAAATTCGTTTGATATTTTGAGTTCCATCCAGCGTTTGAATGATTAAGATTTGGCAATTCTTGTATAAGCAAAAATGCTTATTTTGAATCGGAGTAGCTAGTTTCAAAAATTTCTCGTTATTTACAAGTTACCCTGTATACATGGAGGTTTACTACTTTAGAACTTAGTGTTCTTCTAAACGCAGGGATGATTATGTATGTTGGCAAAAAACGAAGCGCAAAACACCCCCTGGGAATTTTGATTTATATGTTCCTTTGGTTTCAGTCAAAGTGTGAAGTAAAAATTTTGAATATCGTTTATTTCATTACGTTTCGGCGCAGTCATCAGTTTAAAATTTACACAAACTCATGATTGATAAAAATCAACGTTCTTTTAGGTCTTTGCCTTCTTGAAACCTTAAATTTGTCTCACCAAAAAAAGACAAAATAAGATAACTTTACAGACTATACACTTACACCCAAAATAACGACCTAAAAAAGACACTGAACCAATTGAACAGGAACATTAAAACTCTGATTGGACAATACCGACAAGACAAATGGTTAGAAACATGTAAGGAAATAGAAAAAGACAAGGGCAAAACATATTGGCAAAAAATCAAGAAAGTAGCACAATACAAGAAAACTAACACTACTGACACAATTGACAAAAACGGAATAGAACGTTACACAGACAAAGAGAAAGTTGACGTATTCGCCGGACACTATCAAAAGGCATTCAGCATATCGACAAACCCTAACTTCGACAGTACCAACTGGAACATGATCAATGACTGGTACTTGAACTACTTTAACAACTCATCAAACTATACTTACAAACTAATCACAGACACAGAGTTCCCTATCATTTGTCAAAAACACAGCACCGGGAAAAGACAAAATAAAGGCAAAACTCCTGAAAAGCTTAACCCAAGAAACCCACAAACTCATCCTTACTGAAATCAACAACTGCATCACAAATAATAATATTCCGAAAACGTGGAAAAGTGGTGTAATAATTCCTATACCTTAAAATGGACGAGACGGTACACAAATGGACAACTACAGACCTATCACATTACTCCCGGTGCTGTGCAAAGTCTTGGAACACATATTAAAACAGAGACTCGAAGAACTGATTGGAAATCATATACCAACCTACCAATTTGGCTTCAAACAATATCACTCGACTATTCATCCGCTATTTATTTTGACCAACAACATACAAACAGCCCACCTAACTGACGGAAAGTCGGCATGTCTACTCATGGACATCAACAAGGCTTTTGATAGTGTCTGGCATATGGGCTTACTATACAAACTATACAAACTCCACACACCACCATATCTACTACACCCCATAAAGAACTAATTAGAAAACAGACAACTACATGTACCTATTGACAACACACTCTCCTTTGCTTTTTTCCCTGAACAAGGGCTTCCCCAAGGATCACCGCTCTCACCCTTTCTCTACAATATATACTGCCAAGACATATACAATTACATCTTACCAGACAAACATCAAATCGACAGAACGGCATACATATTACATACGCTGACGACACGTCACTTATTATACACGACAAAACTACTGAAAAAGCGTCTGAAAGAGTTCAAACACTAACAAACAACACAATGACATGGTTTTATAAATAGAGACTAACGCCAAACGAGACAAAAAATCAACTTCTGCTCACGAACCACAGACTCAACGCTGACTCCCCCACAATAACTGCAGATGGAAAAATAAAACAACCGAAAAACGACGTAAGGTACCTTGGGATTACAATCGACCACAAACTGAAATTCACTAAACACACACGAAACATCAGAACAGAAATGATAA